TTCAGATTTCTCAAATGTTTACTTTTGCTGTGTGTATATATGTTTACTTTTTTTCATTCTGTGTATATATGTACCTGTATACATACATGTTTCCTAAAATATTTCAAAATTCTTTGCCTTCAACCTCTTCACATTTTCTAAAAATAAGGACATTCTCTTCAATAATCATAATATAATTATCAACATAAAAAATGAATACCAACACAATTATTACCTCAGACCTTTAAATAGTCATTCTTTTTGAAACAGGGTTTCACTATGCAGTTCAGGCTGGCCTTGACCTCACCTTGTAACCCAGGCTGGCCTTGAACTTGTGGCTGGCCTCAATAAATATTCATTCTTGATATGGTGGATTATATTAATAATATCTGACATTGAGCCTTCCATTGTTGAAATAAACCTTGTGATAATGGTATAGTTTTTTTTTAATACTGAGGATTTGAACCCAGAGCTTTCAGTATGCTAGGAAAGCATTCTACCACTGAGCTACATCCCCATCTTTTTTCGTTTTGAGACAGGGTCTGGCTAAGTTGTCCTTGAACTTGGCATCCCCCTACCTCCACCCCCCACGTAAGCTGGGATTACAGGTATGCACTACCATGCCAGCTTCAGCTTCCTTTTACTTGGGATTTATGCATCTATGGTCAGACATGATTAGGTTATTCCTTTTGGCACTATCAAGTTGAGTACATGGTGAGCTTTTAAAATCAGGTGGGCATCTTTCCATCTTTTCCCTTGGTCTGAGCAGTTTATATGTAGCTAAAAATTGGAACTCATCTATTTTTGAGATAGAGTGATGGCTACAGGGAAGTGTTCATTTTGTAATAGTTCATTATATTCTATTCTTAACATTTGCAAAATATATATTAAAGTTTGATATATATTAAAGTTAATCAAAAGAATAATTTTTTTTGTGTGGTCTGGGGATCCACTAGGTTTCTCTATTGTAAAAGTCTGTATTGGGGGGCTCGGGGTCTAGCTCAGTGGCACAGCACTTGCCTTGCATGCTTGAGGCTCATCTTCAGCAGCCCCCTAAAAGGAATTTTCCTCCTGAAATCAATGAAAAACCTGAGAATGGCTTTTGCTTACAAGCATTAATGTTGCCTAATGATGACTTTGTCTCTTTATTCATCTGTATTTATTAACTGGCATTGTAAGGAAGAACTCTTTCCCCCATTTTTCACTAATTTACATCCCTATGAAGTAACAGACACTAGTTTTAGTCTATAGGTTATAATCTAACACTAACAGATCATTTGTTGCTCAAAGTGGCCCACATTTGGCTACTGGGAACTCTTTCAAATTATTTTCAACATTGTTCCCTGTCACTTCTTGAGTGCTTCCTTATCATCTGGCATCACAAGTTGTCCCGGGCTCACTCACATTTCCCCTGTCCCAGTCTGGACACCAGCCATTTCTCCAGGAATCTCCTAGTTCCATTTATTCTTGAATAAACCAGTTAGTGTCTTGGTACCTGGAAATCAGGGTCTGGACACTGGGTACACTCATTGCTTCTAGGCTCAGCAGACAGTGCTAGGAAATACATACATGTTACCACATGCACACGCACATCTGGTTTTACCTGTCCATCTGTGTATTATTGAAAAGCACATGTTCAGATTGATGCCTACAGTCCAATACCACAGGATTTGGGGCTGCTCTTCTGGCAACTTTACTATTTTTATGCTTCTTCCTCTCCTGTTATCTCTGCTCGTCCTCCTCTCTGTGTGGTGGTCAGACTTTCTTAGAAGCTATAAGACACTCAGTGAGCATCCTTCCTGCAATACTCCTACTGGGTAATTAACTTGGGTCAAGAACAGCAAGCAGGTGTGTAACTAAGAACTAGGTAACTTTCATGCCAAAAAACCCCAATAGCCACCTTCCTGAGACTAGGACAGGGAAAAGGACAGATCCTCTGGTTCTGCGGAACTTAGAACTATCACTTCTTCCCGAGATTCTCTGCTACACTTTGTAGGTCATGTTGGACCTGTGTCTCTACTTCCACTACATCCTGGACTTGTGCCGTGTGATTTTTTGTCTGCATCACTAGAATGTAAGCTCCAAGCGGGCAAAAACCAAGCTGTTCAGCTCACTATTCACAGAGCCTGGCACAGTGCTAGCACATGACATGCTCCGGAAATGTTTGGATGGATGAGTGGCCCCTGGGATAGAACACTTGTTACTTAGTGTGCTTTTATTTGTCATGTACTTATGACCAAGTATTGAGACCCACCAGCACTGCAGCTCTAACAGACTGCAGCAAACAGCAGCGTAAGACCCAGATACCTTATTAAGGCTCCAAGAATACAAGAGGCTGGACTTGAAAACTGTTCAAAGAAGAAAATTTCAAACATGTATATTGATTGTATTAGGAACTTAGGGGAGGAGTTTCATGGCTTGGTGGTGCACACCTGTAATCGCTATACTCTCGAGGCCGAGGCAGGAGGATTGCTGTGAGTTCAAGGCCAGCCTGAACTATGCAGCTCAGTTGTTTGAGACCCTGTCTCAAAAAAAAAAAAAAAAAAAGAAAAAGAAAAATTTAGGGGAGAAAAGCACATGGAAGCCTTATGAAATAGAAAATGAACCAATAAATACAAAAACTGTAGTTAAAGTAGAGAGAAAAAAAAGGATAAACAATTATTTGAAAATATAAATATGATAAACTGGGTGTGATGGCCTGTAATCCCAGCACTCGGAAGGTAGGAGGATTGCCATGAATTTGAGGCCAGCCTGGGTAGTGAGTTCAAGACCAGCCTGAACATGGTGAGACCCTGTTTTAAAAAAAAGAAAAATTAAAAAAAAATATTGTTTTACATGCATACATATATATGCATGTTTATATATACATACATATATGAATATATGAGATAAAACTTCCTGAGCCTGATAAAGGGGGAAGGAAATAAAAATACAAGATTAGGAATGAGGGGCTGGGGATATATTTCAGCGGCAAAAACCGCCTGCCTGGCAAGCGCAAGGTCGTGAGTTCGGTTCCCGGTACCGGAGAAAAACCAAAAAAAAAAAAAAAATAAATAAAGATTAGGAATGAAAAATTAGACACAGCCACACAGAGAGGAAGGAGAGGTGAATTTTTTAGAACTTAATGGCAACAAATTTAAAAACAGAACAAATGGATAATTTCCTAGTAAACAATGACCCAAGACATAGTTTGAATAGACAAAAGAAAAAACTGGAAAGATGATTAAAATTTTATCCTTTTAAGAAGTGTTCTGGGGTGGGAGTGTGGCTCAGATACAACCTCTGCCCAGGCCCGGGACACATTAGGTTTCTCTGCCATTTGTGCCTCAGACCCAAAGTTACTACCACAAGCTGCCCGGATGCACTAAGGGCCTGGCGTCACTGCCGAGTCATCCTGCCAAAACTGCAGGTCCTCAGTATAATCACGTGAGCGCGCCAGAGAAACCCAAACTGAGGCACACTCTTCAAATTCTACAAAGTAACTGACCTGGACTCTTCAAAAGTGTCAACTTCATGAGAGACAAGGATGGAGGAATTGCCACAAGCTGATGGAGATGAAGGAAAAACGACAACAAAATGTAATGTGAAACGTCCTGGATCAGGTCCTGGGCGGCCAGAAAAGGACATCAGGGAAAACTGGCAAAATGTCAGTATCTGCAGATTAGCCAGTGGTACCCTAGGAATGTGAAACTTCCTGGTTTTGACAATCAAGTATGGTTTTATGAGATGTTAATATTAGACGCAGATGGATAGAAGGTACATAAGAATTCTCTACTAGTTTTGCAACTCTCTGTAAACCTAAACTTATTTCAAAACCAAAAAAGTGAACAACAGCAGAGCAGCCGCTGCTGAGGTGGGAAGCAGCAGCACAGCAGCCCCTCGGTGACCGCTGCACATGCGCTGTGGCTGCGCCTGGCTTCTGCCCGCCCGTGCAATGCTGTAATGACGTTCTGCCAGCACCCAAGGTTCTCTGATGCCTGGGCCCCCACCTCCACTTCCTGAAAAAGGTAACACCGCCTTGCAGTGGGAGGCTGGATGGAGTTCTGACCAGGGGCGGCTACCGCAGACGGTGCCCAAGGATGCACCAGGCCTCTCTGGTGTTCTGCCGAGTGGATGTTGAAACAAGGCCAGTCTGTGGAATGGGCTCTGCATGAGGGTGTGGTGTCTGGACCTTCTACTTAGTGACTGACTTGCAGGCTTTCTCCTAAACTCACTCAGCCGGAATAAGAGTTGCACACAGGGCCCAGACAGGCTCTGTGGCCACCTGTATGGGGCCTCACCCTGATTCTCTCCCCCTACATCTTCCCAATGTCAACCCTCTCCGTCTCCTGAAGGAGGCCTCAGCAGAGCTGAGTTTGCTTGGTCATCTGGGCCTGATGTCCAGTCTCAGAGTAGGGCAGGGAGATGAACTAGTCAGGCCCCTCGACTCATCCTGATGTGACCGCGGGACACTGTAGGGAGGAACAGCGGGCATAAGAGGGAAAGTCCTATGGGTCCCTTCCTCTTAGAATTTTAGGACATGGGGAAGAGGTAGCCACAAACTAAACTGGAAAACCATCTGTGCACTCTTCCTCCCTTCCTGGTGGAGATATTCTGCAAGAGGGTGGGTGCAGGATGCACGTCTGGTCCCTGTCTTCTTCATCCATATCTGTCCCTTGCTGCCATCCTTCTGAGCTTTTGGGAATATGCCAAGTGCCAGTGACTATGGGGAATCTGGACCAAGTGAAGACAGAGATTGGGGGGTTCTATGCTCCTTGCTGTTTTGTTTTTGGTTGAGACAGGGTCTTGCTATGTAGTTCAGGCTGGCCCTGGACTCATCATGTAGCCCAGCCTGGCCTTGAACTCACGGCAATCCTCCTGCCTCCAGAGTACTGGGATTAGAGGCATGCACCACCATGCCTGGCTCTGATCCTTGCTTTGAAGAAGGTGGAGAGGCAGTTCCTCTCCTTAGCAGACCAAGGGGGCAAGGGAATGCTTCAGGTTGGGGCTGAGGAGGGCGGCACAGTGGGAAGATAGGGCAGTTGCCATGCCACAGTGAGGGGTCTTTATTGGATGCTCAGGGCACGCACAGGCAGGTGGGTGCTAGATGGTGTAGCACACCTTCTCGGGGTGGAGTGGTGCCCGGATGTCCAGTTTGTGGGTCTTGCTGTCCTTATCGATGATCTCCAGCCGCAGCTTGGGTGCACGCTTCTCAGCCTGGGGGAGTTCAGGGCTTTTGAGGAGCTGCTTGTCTGAGTCCTCCACAGTGATGCGCAGAGTACAGCCTCCTGGTAGCAGGTCCTGCTCATAGGCCGCCGCCAGCTGGTTCACCACTCGACGCTCGACCTGCAGGGGTGGAAGATGAGGTGGTGGCCTCAGCCTGGAGCTGGCCTATTTTACCTACTGCTTGGGCAAGTCAGAGACCTCTGTACCTCAGTTTTCAAACCTGCAGAGTGGGGCTAAGGTGACAGCTTACAGGACTGTGCTGGAGGTTCACTGATGTCCGTTTCTGAGACTCCCAGCTCACTTTCCAAATGCAGGTAGGATTCATACTTGGTCACCCTCCAGGTAGGAGTGTTAACTGATCATCTTGTATCTTTGGGTCTGAGGGGGCATCTGCTCTGGGTATGGACAATCCCAGCAGGCAAACTATCAGGAGACAGGCCTAGAGCCCGCGACTGGGTATGGGCAAAGCCTCACTTCTCTCAGGCTTCTGTACTCACCTCATGCTTGATGGAGCGGGCACCATAGTGCACATTGTAGCCGTCCACCAACACATCTGCCACCTCACGGTCCCACAGCAGGGTGATGTTGTGCCTTTGCTTGGCCTGAAATGGGTCAGAGAGAGGCCTGTCTGCATGTAGCCACCTCTTATCAGTGGCCTGAGGCCTGGGCCTATGAGACACTATGTGTCCCCAGGCTGCTGGCCTCACCCCACGGGGAAGGGCTGTTCCTGGCCCAGAGTTCCAGATTCTCAGTGGACAGATGTCCCACCCCTACCCGAGGGCAGTCCCTTCTTACTCGCTTGGCCCAGAAGTTCAGCTCCTTGTTGACTAGCTGGATGAGCTCCGAGTGGCAGAAGGGAAGGAAGTAGACGATCTCATTGATCCGTCCCAGAAACTCATCCCTCCGGAAGTGAGCCTGCAGGGCCAGGATGGGGTGTGCTAGTGACCTAGGGGGCAGGAAATTTCTGGACCCCATGGGGAAGGCAGGGGCTTCTACACCTTCAGAATGGCTAAGGCCCTGCTCCCCACAGCTAGGCTCCAGCAGGAGGTGCCAAGAAAGACTTACTTTCAGGATGGGGCGGATTACATTCTCCTTAAAGTTCTTAGAGATGGTAATCTTGTCACTAATCTGGACGTCACCTGCAGAGACAGAGTCATGAACTGTTTAATCCTCACACTTAGCTCTGGCGCTGTGCCTGCCCTCTCCCCCTGCCCACAGACAGAGCCAGGTGCTGCCACTTTGGGGTGAAACTCGTCTGAGGCTCCCCGGGGCCTTAGCTTGGTCTCTGAGGCCCTTCCAGATCCCGTGTGCTACAAAGCCTGGGGTTCCTCAGGTCGAAGCAATGGCTGACCGGGGAAGGGAAGAGTCAGCATCAAGACCTAGTTTTGTCCTGGGAGACAGGGGGCTGCAGGACTTGTTCTGAATAGAAAGATGACAGACACAACCCACAGTCTCTGGCTGATGTGTCCTCCAGCGCTCACCTATGTGGGGAGCACCCTGGGTGAAAATGGCTATGGTCATCGCCATACAATTTCTGACCTGCTGTCCCCTCAGCATCTCTAGCTGCTGAGTGTGCTGCTCTGGCCCCCTGAGACAGCTGCTGCCTCCTGGTCCTCCCGTGGGTAGCTCTGTCCCCTCCTTAGCTAGGAGCCCTCCTACCACCACGCGGACTTTGGGCTTCCTCGAGGGTGTGGAGGATTCTTTTTATCGGTCCCTTTCCATCTCTATGGTACCTGGGGTGTGGTCAGGGTCACTGTGGGACAAAGCTGTCTCTAAGGACTTCACTGGGGCAGGTACCCGAATCCCATCCCTGCCCCCAGATGTGTCAGTGGCTGGGTCACTCGCCGACAGCTCAGGTCATACGCCATACCAAGGTTTTCAGCGATACGGTTACGGCTCAGCTCCAAAGCTTCCTGCCTCAGCTGCAGGGCATGCTGTGCAATCTCGTCGCTGGCCACGTTGGAGGTCATGATGAAGATGGCATCTTTGCAGTCGATGGTCTTCCCTTTCCCATCTGTTAGCCGGCCCTGAGAGGGATTGGGACAGGACGGTCAGGGACCTGTATGCTCCCCAGAATGCCACGCTGCTGACCCCACCCCCCCAAGTTCTCTGGGCACTGAACTCAGCCTGCCTGCCGTGTTCCCTGCCCCGGGGGGCAGCTGCTCCACTGATTGACAGGCCTGTAGGCGAGAATGCTCTGCTCTTGGCATCTCTGAGCAGCCAACTATCCCTGGCAGCTGGAAGCTGGTCTGATTCCCTACCCGACATACTCTGGGCGAGGTTCATTGCTGGGATACTGGGGACCCAATGAGGCTCTGACACACGCTTGTCCTACAGAAGCAGTGAGACCTAGGAAACAGGTAACAGCAGTGATGATGAAGGGGGAGCCCATCTCTGCAAAAGTTTGGAGGATGGCACCTCGGGAGGGTCACTGTGAGGACTAGATGTGGTCAAACTGGCGAAAGAGCCTCAGGAGCCACGCTATGCTCAGAGCTGTTATTACTACAGCAGATAATACGTAATAAACCGAAACAGGGACAGTCTTTATTTGGAGCCATCCTCTACCCTAAAGGAGAGGTCTACAAAATCAGGTTCTCTCTTTAACCACCTAGGGAGGTTTCCTTGGAGTGCATAGCTCCTTCTACAAGGGACAGAGGAGAAGGCATCTGTACTGGAGACACATGCACCAAAGAAAGAGAAAAAGAGCAAACAAGAGGCATGAGACAGAACAATATATGAAAGCACAGTGCTCTGAAACCAACCAGGTCAAGGATACAGAGTTCCACCCACTCAGCAAACCTCAAGGACATCACTGGCCCGCAGTACTGGTCAGTCACTGATAGCGAGGGCCAGCGACGCACTCAAGAAAGCGACGGGGTGCCCAGGCTAAGTGCTGACAGGGCACTTCCATGGCTGAGCGGGTGTCCTGCCTGGTGCTTTTCGTGTACTACTTCACGCGTACATCCACTAGAAAGCAGCTCCTCAGGGCAGGGGCTGGGAATGCCTGTCACTGTGTCCCAGGACAGTGCTGGCCCACAGGAGGTATTCAACATCTGCTTGCTGAACGCCTGCATCCTTACGACCACCCTTAGAGGTAGGTGCAGTTATGCGCCTTTACAAAAACAGGCTCAGTGAGGTTCAGGAACTTGCTTAAGGTCTCACAGCTAGGATACGTCTACTATCTGACCCTGGCCCCATGCCCTTCCCTCTGTACAGGCCACTGAGGGTACACCCACGGTGCTGGGTCAATGAGCTCTTGTGCCATTTTTTTGACCTGAACATTTCTCACGATCAAGCCAAACCGAGTTTGCATCCTCTGATGCTCACTGGAAAGGAACAACTGGGACAGGGATACAGAGAGGGAGGCCTGCGTGGGACCACCTGGGAAGTAGACAAAGTGTAGCGCCTGCCAAGCTGGCCCTGGGACTAGATCACTGGGCTTCCACTGCTGGCTCCTGCCCGCGTCAGCAGCCTTGGGCCCTGTGCCTTGTCAAGCTGGGCCTTCCCTGTCAGCAGGGCTTGACTTAGGGTCAGCCCTGAGATGAGCAGGAGGAGGGGCAGCAGCGGAACACTTTCTGAGTGCAGGGCGTTTCCACCTTGCCTTACCTGCACTTCCAAGACATTGCTGGTTCCAAAGGGGTCTACTCTAAAGAGGCCTGGGACTCCAGGTCCTGGAGCTGGTCACTGCTGTTCCTGCCTTGGGGCAGGAAAAGGGGTGTCGAGGGTGCAAGTGGACGTTCCTGAGCTGCTCCCTGCTCTTCCCTCTCACCTCTGCTTAAAGGGTCCTGTACAACAGAACCCACTGGGGGCGATTTCAGTTTGGGGCCAGGTCTGGGCGGCTGTGTGAAGCCCTCGAGCACGTGCATACGACATCGTGTGTCTTCCGCACTCACCTCACAGAGCTCATCCCCAAGGACTGAGTTCACACACTGCTGCACTGGCCAGAGCAATAACCCAGCAGCAATTTCATTCTGAGAGATCAAAGCTCTACTTATAACTGGGCCTGTAGATGGGTCCCAGGTGGGTGAGGGGAGCAGGTGCAGCGCACGACTGACCCAAAGGGTGACTTTCTGTGTTTACTCCTCCTCAGCCTCCTTGGCAATAAAGATGTGTCCAAAGAGGGAGCTCTCCCTGCCCCACCTCCCCTCAGAGCATGCACATCTAGTGGGAGCGCGAATGCTTACCCAGAGTCACGGGGCTGTTTTCCCAGTGTTTCATGCATGGATCCTTGAAGGGAGGGGTGGACAATGTGCTCCCTGCAGACCAGGTTCTGCCTAGGACTTGTGCCCTGGCTGTAGGGTCTGCGGTCACCAGGAAGTAGCCCAGCCATTAGTGTGGTTTTGGGGGAGAACAGGAAAGTTCTTCTCTCCTGGGCCCAGGTTTGGGGAGAACTGCGCTAGGGCTGGGGACTTCCCTCAAACCTCCAGGCTGGGTTAAGTGTCTGTGCAACTGCTGTGCTTGCTATATGTCCCTAGTGCGCCCCTTGTCGCAGCAGACTCAAGGTTTTTCTAGCTGCCTGTCTATTGAGGAGGGACTGTGTATGTCTCGTCCATGTGCCCCACGCCCTACGCAGTGCCTGATGAACACCACGAGCAGTGTTCTCTGGGCTGGCCTCCCACCTCTGCAGCGATCTCTTTGACCCTTCCCTGCTAGATGCAAGGCTCTGTGATTAGCCCTTGCTGCTTCTCTGTACAATGAACTCTCTTGAGAGGACAGAGTATGTCCATTCCTGTGGCTCCTGTTAGCCTCTCTGTGCTAGATTCCTGGACTGCCGCTTTCGCTCAGACCTTCCTATGCTCCAGACCCATGAAACTGATGATGGCTGGCTTCTCACACAGCTCCAAAGGGCTGGCCCCGGAGCATCTCACTTTCATCAATCCCACACCCCAGTGCCTCGCCTTCCTCACCAATCTGCTGTCTGCAGCTTGGCCCCCTGTGCTACCTGCCTCAGCTGATGGCTGCAGAAGCCACCTGGTCATTCAGGCCAGAGACCGGGCCACTCATGCCCGAGTGCTCTCTTTCCTCACAGGCAACCTTCTGAGTGTGTGCTCTAGGCCGTCGGTCTTGCTACAGAGCGGACTGCCCCAGCTGCAAGCCTGCACCTCTCCTCCCTTCTAGTTTCTCTGCACAGACGCTTATGGGAGCTGCTACCAAAAATCCGACCCTGCTCTGTTCTTGCTTAAAGTCTTTCAGTGGTTCCTTATAACCTGTCATGTGAACCTACACTCTTTTGCCTGGCTATTTTTTCTTTGTCTTTCCCCTTTTTCTTCTATCCCTTCATCCCTTCCTTCCCTCTTTTTTGCCTGTGGTGCTGAGGGTAGAAATGAGGGCCCGGAGCATGCCAGGCAAGTGCTCACCACAGAGCCACATCCCTAGCCTTTGCCTGGCATTTGAAATGGCCCCCATCCCCCTGCCCACTTCATCTCCATCACCTCACTCTCACATGAAGTGTGTAGTTGCATGATACTGAACAGTTGCAGTGCCCTCAATATACCAGGCCATGTCATGTTTCTACTGCCAGCCCTTCTCTGCTCTGTTGAGCTAGCAAGAACTCACCCTCTGAAGGCCTGCTGAATTACTCTTGGGTTAAGTTTATCAACAGAGCATTTTCCGTAATTGTGGGCTCTGGGAATGGGTGGCATGAGCATGTATGCATAGATCTGGCTAATTAAACTTGGGTGGGAGCTTTGATCAGCAGAACCTAGGACACTGGAAAATATGGTAGGTTGGGTTGGGTATTGTTGGAAGGTACTATCAGCTTCCCCAGCTTCCTAAAATTATTATCACTTCCCTCAGTGGAGCAAAGCAGCAGAGGAGTGGATGGGGCTTACACAGGGCATTTAAGCATCTTCCACATAGACAAGGTGTCATCATTAACCACCCTCTTGGGGCTGAGGATGCTACCAGAGATACCTGCCTAGGGTGCCGCGCTCAGCTCCCTGGGCCTGGCTCTCCCTGCATGGTGGTTTTCCTGAAGACTGGTCCCTCTCCTTTGGTCCCAGCTGCATGGTACTCATTTAAACTGCAGGCTCTGGGAATGGAACTGCCTGCGTTTGAACCCTTAGTTCTCCTTTCTCAGCTGTGTAATCACAAATTCCTCACTCTTGCATTATATCAGTGTCTCCATCTAGTAAATGGAGGCAGTAATAATTATCTTCACTCAGGTGGTTGTTGAGAGGATTAGATGAGTTGATACATGTATATTTTAAAAAAACCTTGTACATTTCTTAGAACAGCATGCAGCATATAGAGTGCAAAAAAGCCAGAGACTACTATCTCTCTTGTTCATCTGTCTCCTGGGCAGAGCTCAAAGGACAGGGCTGAGTGTGGTCCACAGCTGAATCCCACTAAGAGGTCAGAACAGAGTGGGCGGCCTCAGGGGTGCACTTATAACTGAGTATGTGACAACTCCAGGACTCACTTCTTGCTTGACAGGTCAGCTGAGTGACTGCGAAGATGGCAGCAGATCCAGGGCAGGACCAGGATGGTGGCCCCAGTTAGGAAGGCAGTGGTATTTATGGGGAGACGAGGATCCTCCTGACTTGCTACCTGATACACTGGTCTAAGGGAGTCCTTCCCTTACCACATTTGACATGGGAAGCAAACCACCTTCCTATTTTCTCAGGGCTGGAGAAGGCTAAGCAGAAAGGTGGGCAGGGCCTCACCTGGCACCTGCTGCAGGCAGGGGTCCTTGCTGGATGGAGAAGGAAGCCTCATCAGCCCTTGGCTCCTCTCACTCTCTGAGCAGGGTAGGGCCCTGGGAAAGGGTGGGGTGCTGCTCTCCCATGACCACGAGCAAGCCCTCTCTTGGCTCAAGGTAAAGAGGTGGCAGAACAGAGGGGCAGAACTGGGGGTTGGGAGCGGATATACCTGCAATCCAAATTTGGCTCCTCACACAGTGGTTCTGTAGCCTTGGACACATCATTTATAACCTCTCTGAACCTCAATTTGTTCCTTTGTAATAAATGAGATAATTTCTCTGCTTGGCCATTGTGATGATAACAGATAGTGTCTGTTAAATCCTTTTAAAAATTGGTGTATGTTTGTAACATAGTATTTATACTCATTTTGAACAGTTTATATATATATATCTCATATCATGGTCAAATCTGATTCCCTCTCCACTCCACCTGTTAAGTTTTAGCAGAGGTCTAGTCTAGGTGTTTGGAATATAGTGCTTTAAAAGTGCACTGTTTTCCTCCTTTAGAGCTCACCTACAGGGAGACTGTCCAGTTGTGAGGACCTGGAGCTCCTCAAAGGGGGAGGACTCTATCAGCCACCGTGCCACTGTTTCATCAGTGTCAGTGTTTTATAGAACTGATACAGACAAAATCTGATACTGAGGGAGGAACAATAGCTGCTAGGACCAGACCGGTTCCTAGAGCTCATGTGATCCAGCCTCCCTGCCTGTCACACGAGGTCCCTGATGCCCAGAGATGGTGGTGACTTGCCAACGCCATAAAACCAGTAGGGAGCAGAGCTGGGGCTGAAAGTTCAGCCCCTCACCCATGGCACCTCTGTCCCATTTGTCTCTGGAGAAGGCAGTCATGGAATATCAACACTTGGGCAGTGCTGGTCTTCCCTCAAAAGTGCCCTGCCGGGTCCCTACCCAGAGAGGAGGCTGCCCCGCGTGTGCTGAACACCTGAATGGACACAATGGAGCAGTGAGTGGAGGAACGATCAGCCAGTCTTTGTGTCCCGGGCTCTTGTTTACAGCTCTTGATATTTCCAAGTGTCTCCCTACTCCATAGTGGCCTATGGTGACTTACCTCATCAAACAACTGCAGCATGATGGTGAGCACATCTGGATGGGCCTTGTCCACCTCATCGAAGAGCACCACGGCATTGGGGCACTGCTTTAACTTCTTGGTCAGCTGCCCACCCTCCTCATGGCCGATATAGCCTGGTGGGGACCCGATAAACTTGGCCACCTAGTGGAAGGAAGGAGCCAACATGGGAAGACGGCTTTATATACTATTAAGAATGCCTGTTTCTCTCCTGGTGCGGCAGGAATCCTGCCATGATGGGAGGCAGACAGATCTTTTCTGTTTATTCTTCGGAGCAAATCCCACGCAAAACACACCAGTGACTCTGCTGCACACATGTGCTTTCAAGAACAAATGCCAGGGTCGTTGGAATTATCTGAGGCCTGAAGGCCTAAATGACAAGTCATATAAACACCAAGGCAGTCACGTAGCCGGGCCTTCCAGCCACACCTCGTGGAGGGTCCCTTACCTCGTGTCGCTCCTGGAACTCAGACATGTCCAGCCTGATGAAGCCCTGTGTGGAAACAAGCAGGGGACAGATCTGTGTGGTGGCAAGAGGTAGAGGAAGGGCATGTGGGAGATCTCTGCTGTCTCAAGGCCTTCACGCCCCACTGGCTGGGGGTCTCTGTGGTCCTCTCATGATGCATTTCTCCTGGTCCTCATCTCCTTTCCTTTCCAACCTAAGCAAAGCCCAAATGTCCCTGCCCTTCTGAATCTGATTCAGGACAGACCTTCCTTCAAGCAGGTTTCTGCTCTTCTGATTACCAGTGCTGCCCCCTCCACGTTTCCCTCCCTCCCATATTTCTGGCGGATGTTCCTTATGCTCGGCATGTGGCTGCAACAGTGAACAGTCTTGACGCCTGTCCTCGAGGGGACCCCACCAAGTGGGACAGGCAGATGTGCACAGAGCCAGTCCTCCACAGCGGGGATGGTGATGAGACGGAAGGAAGGGCTCCACAGTGCCCCTTAACTCTGTAAGTCGGTGTGGGGCACACATTCATGTTTTAGTTTACTTTTCTTTAGAATGAATGCATTTTGCCATTTATTCATAGTTCTTCATTTCTCTTAAGATATCTACAATATAGCTCACAGCGCGTCTCTCTCACCACTGGAATTAGGTCTGATTTCCAAGAAGTGTCCCCTGGAGGGAAGGGCAGGCTTGGGTCCAGGGGGAGAGAAGGCTGATCTGAAGAGTAAACACAGGCAGAGCGCCCCTTGCTTGTCATGAAGAACTAACTGAGCCAGGGAGCTGCGGGGTTCTTCTCCTACTGGCTCATGCTTCCATCCAGGAGCAGCACTCACCAACACTGCCGCTCCTGAGAGTAGGCACGATGGGGCACCAAGGCCCTCAGCGGAGGGCACCTAGCTCTGAAATCCAGGGACGTGTTCTAGCTTGGTCACTGCCCAGAAAGTCACTTGATATAGTTTTAGTTCTTTGTCCTGCTGCTCTATCCTGCAAGTACAGGATGGCAGGAGGGGCCCTGGGCTGGGAACGGAGCTTGGCTTTCAGCCCTAGTTCTGCCACTGCCTAGGGGGATGCTGCTTCCCCTTGTAGAGAGCTGCTTCTTCCTAACACAGGCTCCTGGTGCCTCTTCCTGCCTCACTTCGGGCCTGAGGAGAGACCTTGAAAGAGGTGGGAAAGGGCTCAAAGAGGTGACTAAGGCCATGCGGGATGAGCACTGCTACCAGTGCACGGGGCACAGGCCAGCAAACATGTCCAGAGGGTCGCTTGGCTGCAGGAAGGGTGTAGATGTCACAGGAAAGCACAGGGGGAGCAATGGATGGATGGGTAAAAGCTGTGTCTGGTGATGTTCGAAGCAAGCTATAAAGAACTAAGAACATGTGCAGTCTGCGAGGTAAGTGCTATTATCCCCACTTCACAGATGAGGAAACTATCAGAGACTGAAGTAACTTGCCCAAGGCCATCTGGCTCCGTATCTGCACTTAAACCATTACGTGATACTGCCCCACAGTTTTCAGCAGCCAACCACCTGGACTCTGCAGTCTTCATTTGCAGGGCCCCGAGCTTTGTGCTCAGGTGTTACTGTCCCAGTAGGGACAGGGAGGACAGACACTAGCGCTTATTTATGTCAAGTGACCTGGCTTCTCACAGTAGTTCTAGCAAATCACTGTGTAACTCAAAACAAGTCTTTGGCTTTCTTGGCTGCAATCATTTCAGTGTCACAAGATCTTAGCTTGAAGTTATCTACAAATAAAGCAATAATAATTGTACTATTATTGAAATTACTGAAAGCCAACACAGATTGATTGCTTATTATGTACCAATAATATTTAATATTGTATATCATTATTTCATGATTACCCAATGGAACATTCATAACTACCCAATGGAACAGGCAGCATTACTGAACCCATTTTACAGATGAGAAAACAGATACAAATGAGAACCTGGTCAATTCCATGTATTTGGGGAGAGTTGGGATTTAACCCCAGGCAATTCAACTCAAATACTTGCTTTTAATCCTGTTATCATCTTGCCACTGTAACCTCAAATCTTTGGGGCCCATCACCCACCTCATGATGACATCATAGAGCCTGCAATGGTTCTTTCTCAAGGATTATTAACACTAGTAATGAAAGTTAACGAAGCTGCCCAATTTGGGAAAAATAGCAGAGGCTAGATCTGGTAAAAAAAAAATTGTAAAAATGTGCAAACAATGCCTCGTTAGGCAGCAAGGTCCAGAGGTATGAGTCTCTTTACAAATGAAGAAGCTAAGGGTCAGAGACCTAGGGTAAAAATTCAAGTCTCTGGCTGGCAGGCCAGGGCTCGTTTCATCTCACAAGCCACCCTGTGAAGCAAACAGAGTGAAGCAAACAGAAGGGAACTCTCGCTGGGAAGAGCTGTTTCACATTAGGTTCTGACACTTTCCATACACTACTCCTGCGGCTCTGGCAGAATCAGGTTGATGGGTTAGAGAGCTAACAGTCTAGGACTCCCGGATGTTGAAGGCAGGTCTGTTATACGACTAAACAATGTCCATGTTAAACATACTCTGTAATGAGTTGACCCCTAGGACTTGTACAGGTCACAGCTTTATGGAAGAATCATCTATGATTTAAAAATAAAATGGTTTTATTGGGCTTCTCATGGCTCTCGTCTCCTTCTGCGAAACACGGAGAAAATGACAAATTCACAATGTTGTCTCCTACAGCATCTGAGAACAGCGGTATTGAGAGACGGGTCAAAGTCTGAATTTACTTCTCTCCCTAACAAGGGTCCTCAGACAAGCCTCTTGATGTGATAGGGCATCAGTTTTCTCATCTGCAGGGTGGGCCTAAGTATCCTCATAGGATCAAGGAACAGACACGCATACTGTGGACAGCATGAGGTGGTAAACACACCAGCTGAGCGAGTGGGCACCACTGTGTACTAAAACCTGAGCCAGCTGCCGACCCCAGTGATCTCACCTGATGCTCACCAGAACCCTAAGACACAGGACTGGAGAGCTGAGGCAAGAGTGCTGAAATTTAATGTGGGGAAGGAACTGTCTGGGGCTAGGAGAAAACAGAACTAGAGCTTGGGCCAAGGAATGCTGGGTGCAGAGCTTTGCCCGCCATATCCTGCTGCCTCAACTGCAATGTGGGTGTGGTGGGCGATAGTGTTATCTCCTCCCCTGGAGGAGGCATGTACTGAGGGACACCAGCATCACACCCGCAGGATACCCTGCATTGGGGTCGATCTGTCTCCCATTTAGATGCATCAAGCGCAAATTACTTGTATCATCAGTCTTTTAACAAACCACCCTCTCTCCTTTCTACATCAGCATGTCAGCAGATATTTTCCTTCCACTTCCACTGTGTATGAAGACATATTAAGACAGCTTGGATAAAGAGATTATAATTTGTAATTAAATATTAACCTTTCTGACAGTATTAAAAATACTGTCAGAATTCTTCATCCCTAATCAGGTGGTTCCTGCCCGTAACTGCATCTTCCCTAAGAGTCCCCCTAGTTTATGGCCCTTTCCAGAGTGCTAATTGTTTCAATCGCTGCCAACCTGATGAATTGTCTTAAAAATGCTATTTTGGTTGGAGCGTATTAGCATGGCAGGCGCTGCTTCTTGCCTGCCTGGCTGTCAAGTGGGTCTGCTCTGGGTTTGGCTGAGTCAGAGCACAGCTACTGGTGCAGTCAGGGAGGCTTAAGAGCCTTCTGCCAGTTTGAGGGCAGAAGGGGGCTCAGGAGGACACAGCCTGAGCTGCCTTGTTTCTGTGGCTGCCAGGCTCTCAGGTAGCTGGCAAGAGGGTAGGGAGGCCACAGGAGGAACAGGAGACCAGGACTCTGCTGCTGGGGCCACTTGGCCAGTAGAGGCTTGCCACAGAAACCAGTGGGCACTGGGGTTCTCACACTCCAGCCACAGGCAGGGGACTTTAGCCTCATCACAGGGAAGGCCGGTTAGGGCAGTGTTTAGCTTTTGTTGAAGTGTTTTACACTCTGTCTAAGGACTGCTCTCTTGAACACATTTCTTGTCAGCCTAGAGAGTCAAGCAGAGCAGACCTGAGATGGCCTGAGTGTGAACAAGCAGGGGATGAGAAAGGCTCTTTTGTAAGGGAAAACCCAGGGGGTGGAGCCATGGGAAGAAGCACTGGAAGCAGCCCAGGCTTAAGACACAAGAAATCAGGTTTAAAAGCTCATGCAGGGCCAGGCAAGGTGGTGCATGCCTATAAACCCAGCTACTTGGGAGGCTCAGGCAGGATTCCAGGTTCAAGCCCAATCTGAGCAACTTAGTGAGACTGTGTCAAAAAAAAATTAAATAAAAAGAAGGGGGGGTCAGGAATGTAGCTTAGTGGTACAGTACTTTCCAAACATGTGCAAGAAGGCCCTGGGTCAATTTCAAATACAAAAAGCCAAACAAAGCAAAACAAAACAAAGCAAAGCAAAACAACAAAGCAAGCAAGCTCACGTAAGAGGGAGAGAAGCAACAGGCGTCATCTTATTCCTACATGTTTTTTTTTTTTTATATAGTTCCCAAAACTCTCTAGCACAGTCCTGGCTGCCCTGGATGCTGTTCCAGCCTGAGCCCAGGGGGCCCCAGGGAGGAGGGAAGCCTTAGTAAACACTGACCTACAGCACCCAGCGTGGCACCTGGGTTGGGGCAGGTGCTTGACAGTGCTGTGTGGCCGAATCTCATTTGGCTCTTCCAAGAGCTGAGGAGTCAGGCAAGCTGCGAATTATATACCTGTTTCACAGATGGAGAAACTGAGGCACAAAAAGGTTGGATAACTTCTCCAAACTCCTAGCGCTGCTGGTGGCCAAAGCTGAGGCTTATTCCTGGGCCAGGACTGTCTTCTTGGTTGGCTTACTGCCAGCTTCAGAGAGCTTTGGATTTGGGGACAGCATGACTGGGCAAGGTTTCCATGGGCTGCAAACCAGACCTCAGTCCCAGCCCTTACCTTTTTGGCATCTTTGTGCATGTATTTGGCTGTCTGCTTGGCCAGCTCTGTTTTTCCTAGTGAGAAAGAAGAAAGGAAAAGGAGTAGGTTAGGACTGGATGACTGGAAATGCCAGGACACCAGGAAGCAGAGACATTACGGATGGGGATGGTGAGGCCCGGAGACTCCCCGGGGCCAAGTAGGGAATGAGTGGTGAAACTAGGATCAGAATCAAGTCTGCATGCATCTTGATTTTTCTGTGGGTGGGATTGAGGCCTTTTCTCTCTGGCACCATCCTGACAGTGCAGAGCAGACATACGAGCCAGCTTGGCCTTTGAAGCTCAGCATAACCCTCACTTGTCTTAGGAGCACCCTGACTTCCTGGCTCACTACCTGCATCTCTCTTAACCTCCATGACCTGCAATTCAGCTGGGCCACGGAAACAATGCCAAGTAAGGGCGGGGCCGGGTGTGGTGGTGCGTGCCTGTAATTCTAGCACTCAGAAGGTTGAGGCAGGAGGATCGCCATGAGTTTGAGGCCAGCCTGGGCTACATACTCAAGTTCAAGGCCAGCTTGCTTTACATATCAATACCCTGCCTCAAAAAACAAAAACAGCAAGTAAGGGCTGGGAAGGGATGAAGAGCATTTCTTACTGGCTTCAGTCTTCTGCGGCATAAAAAAGGGAACAATACCAAAGAGGTGGTCCTGAAGGGCCATTTGGAACAATGATCAAACCACTGGAAGCCACTGTGGGGCCCAGAAGTGAAATTCTGTGGTATCAAGGTCGGGGGGTGGTGGTGGTGGTGGTGGTGGTGGTAAGCTTTTGGGACCCCACATGTGAGGTAGAGCTAAGTCCACACAGGCATTGGGAGAGGAGGAAGAGACAACTAAATCATGAAGTCCGGGCTGAGGCTGTAGCTCAGAGTACAGCACTTGCCTAGTACGTGTAAGGCCCTGGGTTCAATCCCTAGCCCTTCAAGGAAAAAAACAGTCCCTATAAACCATGAAATCCCCAGCACGATTTCACAGAAGGGGAGTGAAGGAAAGGGAGTATGTGAGTGCACAGAGTAAGGAGTTGAGAATTTACCAGATGATGCAGCCCAACTGGCTAGAAAAATATCCAACCTGCTGTAACCCCAGCCTGGGTAACTTAGTGATTTAGAGACCCTGTTTCAAATAAAAAAATAAAGCTGGGCACGGTGGTACGAGCCTAGCACTAGGGAAGCTGAGGAAAGAGGATCGCCACAAGTTCAAGGCCAGCCCGAATGATATAGTGATGCCCTATCAAAATAAACTAAAAAATAGAGTTGGAAATTGTAGCTCAGTGCAAAGGATCTGGGTTCAATCCCTAGTTCTCTGGGGAAAAAAAAAAAAGCAAAATACTCAGTCCAGTTCATTGGACCTAGTTATGCTCTGTACCTGGCACTGCACTGGTCACTGGGGTTTTCTTTTTTTTTTTTTGTACCGGGAATCAAACTCAGGACCTTGCGCTTGCCAGGCGGGCGCTTATGCTACTGAGCTATATCCCTGGCCCAGTCACTGGGGTTTTCTTTAGCTTCCTACAGCTAAGCTGCTCTGAATGTGGTTGATGTCCTGGGCAGAGGAGGTAGCTCAACTGTTCTCAGAGCAGAGTGCCCTGACCAAGCCTAACGGCCCCCGAGGGCCTGGCCCCAGATGAATTAGTCTCTGTACCCCTGAGTGTACACAGGGAGAGGCCTGGTTCTAGCTGCTTGTAAAACGGCAGATGATTGAACACCCAGAGTCTTCTTTCCTGATGGCTCTGTAATTTGGAGGTAGTTGCTTCTAGAGCTGAGTGTTGAACTTGAGGTGGATGGTGTGACCCCTGGCCCATCGCAGCTGGGGTGTAGGGCTCACGCTGGGAGCTCCCCTTCCCCACTGGCTGATGTGATCCTGATTACCTATTCCAGATGATCCCAAGAAGAGGAAGACCAGAGGGTGTTCTTCATCATACCAGCCATTCTCCTTCCTCCGGATCGCTGTGGCCAAACATACAAGACGGGGGGACAGGGAGGGAGGCAGATAAATCAATGACACAAAAGGCAGGATAATTATCACTAAGTATACAATATGTTTTACTGCTCTGCGCCCACTCAAAGTCCTCACTACCATTAGTGCTGCCTAATCTGATTAGCTGGCAAGGCCCCTAGAGATACCTAATCAGGTTAGCATGGATTTGGAAAGCTGCCCAGAGCAGATTTCGGATAAAGTTTTCCAGGATGAGCACTCAGTGTTGCCAGGGAAACTGAAAGGCGGGTGGATGGTGAATGGAGGTGAAGGGGGTGGGGGATTGGCGAAGGAGAATTAGAGAGGAACTTTAGCTTTTACTGGTTACCCTTCTACGCACCTATGCAAATGGGACAGGCAGAAGCCCTTGGCAGTTGGGGATCTGGGCTCTAGGCTCTTTCCCATCTGAGGAAACTAAGGTCTGGTCTACTGTCTGGATTAGGAAGTGGAAACACAGCCAAATACCTTTTTTGGAAGCCAACAGAGGGTAGTGTGGAGCTTGGAGCACAAAAAGGGTGAGCCACTGTTAGCATCTCTGCTAACCAAAGCCTCCAGCGGGGTCTTGAGGGTGCGGGGAGCAGAACAGATCTGTACTAGTTATCTTTGGGGTTTAACTCTGCCAGAGCAAGGCCTGATCTCTTCTTCATGAGGAAGCATGTGATCAGGGGCCATGTATTCGAGGCAAGGACACTAGCAGAAGCATGCTCAGAAGCACCACTCAAGTATAAGAGTAGGGAAGGAAGCAAGAATCATTCATTGCACATGCTGTATGTTAGGCATAACTAGAAAAATCTGCCAACAATATATTTACTCAAGACGCCACAAATACCCCGAGGGGAAAATATTCTCAACTCTTTTTTACTAAGAAAGACTTGCCTAAGTTACACAACTAGTAGACAGTAGAGTTGTTTCTTTCTCTAAACCTGTCTTCTTTTTAAAACTCACATATGGCTGGTTTAAAAAGTTCGTATCCATTTGGGATGCATTAATGGAAACACGGCAGTCAGGAGCTGGACGAGGACAGAGCACTGCGCAATGTCAAAGTCTGTCTGCAGATGGAAGAGCATGTCTGCTCTGGTCCCCAGAGGACTCAGCAAAATTAGCACAGGGACATATGTCAGAGGGAGAAGGTCTGGAAACCCAGTCAACGGAGAAAGAGTTGACAGTCTTAGGGACTAAGTCTGAGGGTTACCAGTCTTGAGGGAATTGTAGCTGGGTTTCAAGGCAGCAGCGGCAGAGGTCAGGGAAGACTCGGAGTGGCAGGACTAGCTGGGTCATGGAGGTGGGGCAGGATTTGCAGAGGCAGCCAGCACGACAGAGGCAGAGAGGTATGAATGTGAGGGTGGTGAGCAGGATCAGACTGTGAGCATCTGGATGACCTGTCTTAGTGCAGTCCCATGCTTGTGTTCTTTCTCACCTCTGTCTCTCATGGTGCTACCTTAATGTGCTTTTCTACTTTTGGCCTCAGCAGCAACAGATAGAAAATGCAACCTCTCATATGGCAGACTAGACACCTTTGCCTGACCAGGAGATGCTCCCTGAAAACCCTGAAAGAGGCTCGGGAAACATTCAGTCCAACCTCTCTTCTGGGCTAGGACACAGATCTCTAACTGGCCCAGTTCTCTGGAAGGGTTAGCTATGGGGTAAACGCACAGAACTCATAGGTATCTGAACACTGGGGATGAAGCAAAGACGGCCATGCTTGGCCGATGGACAGTCCCTGGTGCCCCAACAGAAGCAGGGACGTGGATGTGAGGGTATCTGGGGAATGGATGTACTACAATGGCAGACATAAAGATTTCCATGGATACAATGTGCACATGTGTGTTTTGTGTGCTGGAGCAGGGCTGAGAGAGAGGTCGAACTTAGGTTGGGAAGAGGCAGAGTATGAACTGGGCTCAGGCTCCGTGGAGCATCTAGGAGGCCGTATTACCCAGGCATCACTAGAATGGTGGCCTGGGGGGGACAAGGTTCCCTGGGTATCATGTACTTGGCTTTTCTTTCAGGGTAGCATCCCAGCCCTTTGAGAGCTGCACACTGCTGGGCTGTGTGGTACTAAAAACACCATGGAGAATGTGGAATTGAATTGTGCCTGGGGCCATCTTTTCCCCCTTCTTTTCTAATAATGCACCTGGGAGAGAGCTCTTTATAATGCCAGGCAGACTCCACTGCGCAGCTGTCCTTGGTCAATTCTGTCAGACCCAGGCATGAGTCTGGGGTGGGCTTGATCGGGGTCCCCCATGAAACAGGCGAAATGCCAACCATTAAACAATTACAACTCTGGATATTTCTAATAATATGTGAAGAGAAAAACAACCAAGCAGATGGAGTCCGACAGAATGAAAAATGGAAGCAGCCCGGGAGGACTGGGGAAGGCAAGCCCCAGGGTGTATGCTGATGGGGTGGCTGAGGACCAAGACTGGGGAGCCTGGAGGGCCCCGCCCGGTCAGTGTGGAGGCTAGGACTACAGATATTTGGATGGGCCCAAGTGCATGTGGCCATAAGTGCTGGTGCTCTTGCTGTAGACCAGCAGATGCACAACTTACTCCGCCAGCACTTAAAAACTTCTGCAGACATAATTTCACACTAGCCTCATGACCACCTGAGACAAGGAGGAGAGAGAACTTCATTACATTTTATAGATGAGAAAATATATACAAAGAAGTTCAGAAAGCTGTTCACGGTTACACAGGTGAATTCATGAAGACCCTGGGCTTTAAGCCTACTCTTGCTGACTCCTGTGTCTAAAGTGGTGCTTCAGGGAGTGTGAGGGAAGCGGGCAGCTCCCTCCTCCGGCTCTCTACTACCCAGCACCTCCTCACTCACTTGGCTTACCAGAAAAATGTTTTCTCTTGCAGTCTTCCAATCCAGCTCACTCAGCCACTCAACACATGGCCTCAAGGAGCCCCTGTCCTCACCACTGCCCTTGGGCTTGAGATGCTGTCAGGCCTTCTGCATGGGCAGCTTCTGCCCTCCACATGCTGTGCCAGGGTCTGCCTTGTTTGTGTCTGCCCCCTTTCCAGGCGCCTTTCCTGGTCACATCTCTTGTTATTGGACCATCTGAAAACTCACCTGGAACAACTCTTTATGATTAATTCCGTAACACACCTACCCCATTAATTTATAGGTCTGAATTTTCTGGTAGGTGGAGAGTACTTACTGAGCGGTATGGTGGAGAGGGTAGGCATTACTGCAGCTCATTCAGTGTCCTGCCTCTGTTGCTCACTAGTTGACTGACTTTGAGTAAAACACCTATTTCATTTGCTTTCTTTTCTTTTTTGTTTTCTCCCAGTACCGGGAATCGAACTCATGACCTCGTGCTTGCCAGGCAGGCGCTGTGCCGCTGAGCTAAATCCCCAGCCCCTTCTTTTCTTTTCTTTTTGAGACAGGGTCTCGCTGTGTAGAGTTCAGATTGGCCTTGAATACTCTGTAGACTACACTGGCCTCAAACTTGCAGCAATCCTCATGCCCCAGCCTTCTGAGTGCTGGGATTATAGGCATGTGCTTCCACATCTGGCTCCAAAACACCTATTTCTTTAGAGCCTCAGTGCCTGGAAACAGGCACATATTCTGTATTGCTCCACACAAAGATGAAGTGAATTCTTATTTATAAAGGGATAGTGTAAACTGCAAAGAGTGGAATAACAACACGAATAAGCTGGGCACGATGGTGTGTGCCTACACTGCCAGAACTTTGGAGGGCTGAAGATGATCAGATTTCATGAGTTTGAGATCAGTCTGGGCAACAGAGTAAGACCTCCTCTCAAAAAAATGAGACAAAAACCAGAACAAAACACAAAACACCAAAGCCAGTAGAAGTACAAATAGTGGCAGTCCTGACAGTAGCAACAGCAGCAGTCATTAGATATCTTTTTCATCCTCATACCAGTCCTTAGAAGTAGGTATTACCTCCATTCTACACAGGATGAAATGGGCTCACAGAAGGGCAGTGTAAGGGATTTCATCTGCCTGTGCCCTCAGGTCAAAGGGGAGAGTGTGCCCCCAATGAACTGTGTGTTCCATAGGAGCAGGTGCTGGGCCTTCTAATTCCTGGGGGACCTGAGACTAGCCCAACACCGGTTTGTTTGCTGGCTACATGAATTTATTCTTGGTCTTTCCAGAATTATGAGGAGGGGGAGAAGAACAGATTTTTTTTAACTTCCATTTTATGGAGAAGGGTGTGGCCTGGACCCAAGAGTCTCTTAGCAGTCCCAGTGGTTTTTACTGCCCTGCGAGTAGGTTTCTGAACCCTCTCCTGGGAATCTTATGCATGTGTTCAGCAAACATGCCAGGCACTGGGATGCCACAGGGACTACGACAAGCCTTATGCTTATGAGAGAAATACTGCTGTGAAAATGGTGGGTTTTAAATGGGTGGGAGAAGTGCAGGAGACCACTCTGTGCATGGTTGACATCTGTGCCTAAAGGATGAGGGTGAACCTGCCATGCAGTTGGGAGTATGAAAAAGCAAGGAAGAAAGAGCTGCCTCTTCCTCCCACCCCAGCCTTTGCCTCCATCCAGCTCAAGGTTCTGGGCAGTCTGGGTGGGCTGATTCATCCTTCTTAATAAATTCTAATGACCTAGTATGGGAGGTTGTTAAACCTCTCCTAAAACACATTGTTGCATGTTGTACCATCTCTCAGGGGAACCAGCCTTTCAGAGGGACTCTCATGGTTGAGAGTTACCCCAGTGTCTGTTAGCTGTGTCAAAATGGGCTCAGACTTCATTTGCCTGAATTCAATACCCATACTGTGTGTCCACCTGGGAAACAGCGAGGTATCTCTGACCACTGAAGGAGGAAGACATATAAACACAGCAGACACCATGTGGTAGGATGGTGATGAAGGTGTCATATGAAGTCCAGAGAGAGGCCTTAAAAGCCGGGCGTGGCGGCACATGCCTGTAATCCCAGCACTCAGGAGGCTGAAGCAGAAGGATTGCTGTGAGTTTGAGGTCAGTCTGGGCTACACAGTGAGCTCAAGGTCAGCCTGAACTGCATAGTGTTGTGTCTCAAAAAAACCAAAAAGACAAAACAAAAACAAAAACAAAAAAACCCACACAAAACAAAACAAAAAAGCAGAGAGAAGGCCTTGAGTTTTTTTTTTGTTTGTTTTGTTTTGGTACCAGGAATTGAACTCAGGACCTTGTGCTTGCTGGGCAGGTGCTATGCCCCTAAGCTATATCCCTGGTCCGAGAGAAGGCCTTGTAACCAGGGAGGAATGGGGCCCTGGAGAAGCCTAGGTCTTGAGTATTGGCAGGGTAGGCTAGGCAACAAGAACAGCAAGGCACAGGCGAGGCCCTTGAAGTGACCTAGAGTGAGGCTGCAAGCAGTTCTGGTTGTCCTTCTCACATCAGACTCCAGTACTCCCCGGGAGGCTCAGCAAGGTGGGGCTTGGGGAAGAGCATACTTTCAGATGAGTCAATGAGGGAAGTGAAGCATGAATAGGATGGTGTACCCAGTGGGCCACACGATGCTGAGATTCTGCATGTGTGTCAGACTGTGGCCTGAAGGACACCTGAAGGGGTACAGTTTGTCCAGGGGAGTGCAGACACTTCAGAGGGATCTCTGGGACAGACAGAATGGCTGTCAGGCACAGGTTCTTGGCCTGAAGAAGCTCCAAGGAAACCGCCAGTATGTGCATGTTGACTTGCTGCCCAGGGGAAGCTGCTTATAGGGAGGTCTGGGGAATAGGCCATCCTCCTAGCCACTGTCAAAGGTCAATTAATATGGTTGCAATTAAGGCTCTTGCTTGAGTCCTGTTCCCAGCACGCGTGTGAGCTGCTAGAGGGCAGGTGTATACCTTCTCTCTTCAGAGTACATCATGGAGATGGACAAGGGGCCATGCCACAGAAATACATTTCACAAACTGCACTCAGCATCTACTTTTGAGCACAGGGCTGTTCCAGGAAGTGGGCACGTACAAGTTGGTTGATCACTGCACCTGAACTGAGTTAGCCCAGGGACAAAGCAGCTAGTGTGTGGGAGATGGACTGGGGTGGGAGGGTCAGAGAAGAAGGAACTGCAAGCTGAGAGGGCAGCAGCGACGGACAGGACATGTGCTCACTGTGTGCAGCGAGGCAGAAGCAGGCCCCGTGGCTGGTGTGTGGAGTGCCAAGCAGGGGGCAGTGGCAGCAGCAGTGCCTTGCATGCAACAACAGAGCAGCTAGGGACACTCAAGTGTTTTCAACAGGGGAGTTGCATTGTTAGATTTGTGTTTTCTTTCTTTCTTTTTTTTTTTTTTTTGATCTTTTTGAGACAGGGTCTCACTATGCAGTTCAGGCTGGCCTTGAGCTCACTTTGCAGCCCAGGCTGGCCTCGAGCTCACAATGATCCTCCTGCTTCAGCCTCCTGAGTGCTGGGATTATAGGCATGCAACACCACGCCCAGGTTAGATTTGTGTCTTCCAAAGATCACTCTAACAAGAAGAACTGATTCTAGGGGAAGGAAGGGAGGAAGGAAAACCACTGAGGAGGCCACTGCCATGGCTCAGATATACTGAACTAAGGCAATGCTATCAGGAGCAGAGGGAGAGGCCAGGTTTGAGAGCCACTTAAGAGGTGGAATGACAGAACTTGATTTTTGGGCTGTAAGGGATGAGGGGAAGGGGTCAATCAATTTCTAAATTTCTATTTAGGAGACCAGTGAATGTGCTCAGCAGAGAGCTGGCTGCCTTTCAGAGGAGGCCTGGAGCTCCCAGCAGGTCTGCCCCATGGCACGGGCATCCTCCCCTCCTCATGAACCAGCCTCCAGATTCTGGAAGCGCAGCCTCACCTTCCATGCCAGGGTTCTGGTCTGTAGAATGCAGGTTGGCCCTGCTTTGGCTCTGGTGACCCTGGAAGACCAGAGAGGCCATTAGGGCCTGGATTGTGAGGCTGGTGCTTTATCTCCTCCATTTGTAAGGCGGTAACTGTGCGCCAGCCTTCCTAGAGGCCCTGCAGCTGGGGATCACACTGATAAATTCACTGTATTACTTTGCACAAATCAATATCCCAGCACTTACCAGGGGTTGATGTGACCGAAATTGGTTTCAGCCAATTCGTGAGGGTAATAAATGGCCATTTATCAAATCAATTCATTCTGCGGCACTTTTCTGGCTGCCCATGCTCATGGTACCCATGGGGTGCCAGGCTTCAGCCAGCTAGTCCCTAGCACGCATGTGACACTAGCCTAGAGGACCCAGATAGGCCTGTCCTCCCCTCTCGATGTGCCTCATTTTCCTGTACCTGCTTCAGCTTTGAAGTGTTGAGGTTCTGGGTGCTGCCTGCCCACTACAAGTTCTGACCCAGTGAATGTCTCAGGCTTTGCCTGCCCTCACAGTACAACGACTAGGCTACGTACTCCTTCCTACTAGATAGTTCTGGGAGGGCCAGGGATATAGCTCCGTGGCAAAGTGCCTGCCTGACAGATAGTTCTGGGAGCTGGTCACAGGAAATGAACATGGTTTGGACATTAGCGGTGGGATCTGAACTGCAGGGCTTCTCGGCAAGGCAGACGCACCGTTACCATTTCACAGTTGGAGGCAAAACACACCAACCCTGCCCAACTCTGACCCTACTTTCTAGGGCAATGGTGGTGAACCTAGGGCATGTGTGCTGCAACAGGAAAACTGTATCACTGAAAGCTCTAAAAGGTTCACCACCACTGTTCTATGATCACTAGAGCCATAGCAGGTCCAACCTAGACATCATAGGACAAAGCACAGGGCCTTTCTGGATGGCTATTTTACTGCTGAACTGAGGCAGAGTCCAGGTAACAGAAGGGGAACGAGAGGTGGGAGGAGGACTTGGGTGTGAGCACATTCTGAGATTTTTGGAGGTGGTGAGAATTACCCACTCTTGCTCTGGCCCAAGAGCAAGGAAAGACAAGACGGTGAAACACCAGAGGTCAGTGTAGGGACAAGGAAGAGGCAGGCTGTGGGATTCAAGTCCTAGGTAGAAAAAAAAAAACCAGCTGTGGGTTTGATTTAAAGAGCCTAGGGCCCAACCCAAGGTGGAACATCTTGAGGACAGGGACTAGGCTGTAGTCACTGCTGTATAGCACAGACAGGGAAGGACACATGCTTTAGAATCACATGGTCTTAAACTTACACCCACCACATGGGTGAGGGAACTGCTGAGGCCAAGCTGCACAGTGGGAAAGTGGTGGGCTCAGTCTGGTCTAATTCTACAGCAATGCCTCTACTTCCGGGGAGCTTCACAGCCTGTGGGCCCGTGGAGCTGCTAAGAAGTGCCATCGGAGGACTGCAGGTGGCCTACTGGGGAAGGCGCATATGAAGCTGGGAGAATCCCAAAGGCAGCCCAGTGATGTGAGGCTCCACCCAGCTCATCAGTTTCTGATGTTGGGCTACACCTCTCTTCAGCCCATGAGAGCACCCGGAGTCTTCCTTCCGTCTATCATGGATATAGCTTTGCCAAAGGAGTCGGGTTGTCATCTCTAAGGTGGCAGCTGGGGATGGATATCTGAATCCAAACTCCAAAGGGCAGCTTGGTGTGGTCTGGGCGTGAGGAGCAGGGGCCTCTGTATTCACATTCTCTCAGCTCCTGCAAGCTGCCTTCTGACGTGTAACTGGGCAGGCAGCTCTAGTCTCGGGGCTCCTTTCCTCTGCTGATGGAGTCAGGCCCCTGATGAGGGACTCATGTGGGAGTAGTGAGCCCCACCGGTGTATGAGAATGATGACCAGGCTGGGTCTGGAACATCACGGGATAACCGCCACCATTTTTAGTTACCCTTAGGGCTGATAATGTGGCTCCCAAGTATCCCAGAGGGCAGCCTAGACTTCAGGCTGGTGGCTCCTATTCTCAGTGAGCAGACCTGGTGCATTCTTGGCAGTCCCTGGGCTACGTCTAGCAGGACTAGAGGCTTAGAGAGAAGAGTAAGCCATGTGTCAGTGGGACTGGCCAAACCTATTGCCTCAGGGCAACAGGTTTTAAATTCCAGCTGAGTGTCAGACTGCCCAAAAAGCCTGTCTAAAACCCAGATCCTTGGGGGAGACCCCTTTGCCCCAGCCTGGCATAGGGTTCTTCTTCCCTGCCTCACCTGTCTGCAACCACTCTCAGGAGACACACACAACAGAGTTAGGGAATGAAGGTGAGGCTACTGTCTTCAGCAGAACCTTAGCTGTACATATCTGTCCAGGAGACTTTGCTGGTTGAATACGGCCACTAGATTAGGGGTTACACAGTCTGGCTTCCAGGGGCCAAAGGATGGGAATAGGAGTTTCACAGGTGAGGAAGAAGGCATGCCATGGTTTGGGATGTTCTCCCTAAGACTGGGACAACTGCTGACAAGCTATTCTGAAGAGACAAGAGAGTCCTAGTGCTAGCTCAGCTGCCATGTTACTGGTGACGGACAAGCTACCATCCCTCTGTGGGTCTTATGCGTCCCATCTTAAAAGCAGAGCCGGGGGCAGTGGACCACATGAAGGTGAGTGTCAAATCTAGGCAGCCTTGGACCAGTTATTTAAGTGCGTGTCTTAGCTTCCTCATCTAAAATGGGGATTTTACAGTACCAGCTTCATAGCATTGCTGTAAGGACATAAATGACAAAAAATGCAAAGAGTTTTTGCAAATGTTTGGCATAGAGATACTACTCAATAAATGTTAACTTTTACTATTAAATGCACCTCACCGCAGCATGACTGCCCTGTCCCGTCTGGCACTGGACAGTGTCCCACGCAGTACTCACCGGCACCCACGGTGGTGATGGCATTCTCCTGGCCAATGATGTGCTCCCTCAGTCGCTGCTCCAGGGGGAAGCGGCGCCGTTCCTCAGCCTCACGCTTCCGTTGCTTCTCCTGGTACTGTGGGGTGAAGGGGGAGATTGTTCAGGGAGCTGGGCTCAGTATGATCCTACTTTCATTCTATCTCCCAACTCAGGAAAAAACACGTCTGGGTGCTGGCAGGGTGGGGTGTGGGGTGGGCCCCATTCACAGCTCTGGCTCATGACCACGAGGTCAGTGTTACTCTTCCCACTCTCCCTTCACCTATCCTCATATTGCTGAGAGGAAGAGAGCCAGACCTCTCCAGGGAGCTCCAAGTCAGGGCCTGCACACAAATGCTCCTCAGGCAGAATCAACCACTTTCGCTGCGGTTTCAGAGTATGAATGTTTATCCCTAGGACTCTACTTGCCACTGGAGAAACTACTTGAAAATGAGTTTGTTGAATGTTTGTGACTCTACCTCTCACTCACTTATAAGCTCCCTGAGGGCAGGCACTCATTTCTATTTCCAGCACTGTCCAGGCACAGAGGCAGCATCTGGCACATGTTTGCAAAACTGAATGTGATAACAGAGACAAAACAGAGAGAATTCACATCTGGATGGGGTGGTACACAAGTGCAGAGATGGGAAACACACATAAGGGTGACACACTGTGTGGCTTTCTGGAAAACAGAGCTTGAAGCTGTCTGGCAACTGAGCAGCGAGGCCTGAGGGCATGGGCCTGACGAGAAAGTATTTTGGAGGACGCTGAGGGGGAAAGAAGCAGATCTCGGAGTGGAAAGGAAACACCAGGTCTTCAGGAGGCTCCTTTCCCCAGAGCCCCTATGACAGTGACATCCTTCTAGAAAGAGAGCTGTCAAGGTAAGGGCCCGTCACCAAAGCTGTAGCTGCAAATTGCTCTTGTGGGCAGAGTGGATGAAAAATACCTGCTGCTTGGGCAGTGTTTTCCTGTTATGGTAGTGACCTTGACAGAAGTTAAAAAAAATAAATAGCAAACAATCCAATTTTGGCTGTTGCTATCAGTCTGCAGCTGAAAGCTCCCATCAGTCCTGGGGTTTCATATGGAGCAATAATTCGGCGCCGATCCCAGTGGAGCGAAGCTTGCCGGCTGGAATCCAGAGTGTCACTGTGCAGCTCCCTCAGGCGCCACATACATCACCTGGCTCTGCAACGGCAGCCATATATCTGCCTCCTCCTCCTCCCTGCCCACCAGCCTGCTCAACGCTTGTGCCCACTGGGCTAGAAGGCTCTGATGGTGAGAGGTACAAAGCTGGCTGGGACAGTGCCAGCTTGCCAGCGTTTGCTTGGTACATGTGCTCACCTCCATGGAAGGCCGCTATATGCCAGGTGCTGAACTCACTCAACACCCACTGTCTCATTTCATTCTTATAGTCACCCTTGACCTGAAATTTGGCTACTTTTTTTGGCACATGAGGCAATTTGTGGGGCAGAAAGAAAAAGCTTTGCTTCAGACAGACCTGAGCTCAAACTTCACTGTACCAATTTACTAGCCAGCTGACTTTAGGAAGTTCATTCACTTTCCTGAGTCGCAGTTTCCTCACTGTAGCACAGGGATAATTCTCATACCTACCTTTCGGAGCCTTGTGGGATGCTGGTGAGGGGTGAATGGGATATTGTAAATAAAGCACTTAGCACAGCAAACCTGTGTGTGCCCAGGTAGTCTGAGTGACTCAAATAGCTACCATAGTGCCTGGCCCCCTTTGATAATATTACTCCTTTTTCCTTCACTGGGTTTTGTTACTTGATTATGTAATGCATGGCTTTTTGTTTGTTTTGACAGGGGGTCTCGCTATGTAGTTCAGGCTGGACTTGAACTCACTATGTAGCTCAGGCTGGCCTTAAACTTGCGGCGATCCCGAGTGTTGGGATTACAGGGGTGTGCCACCAAACCCAGCTCGCACTGCCTTTTTGGGTGTGCGTGTATGCTGGATTTCTTTTAATTAGCTGAGCCACACATAGACTTTCAGATAAAAAGAAGAGGCGGTCTGGCTTAAGTGGAAGCCAGGAGCCAGTCCACCTGGGTGTCTTCTTCCCTGGAAGTGGCTTCTGAGGCTTCTCCTCTAGAAATCTAGATCTGTAGGCATAGTTGCACACTGGCTTCTGGAGAATCGGCTACTCCCTGAGGCAGCTCATCTCTGCCACAGTTTTCCTTACAGGGTGACTTCTACCTCTAGCTACTTTTCAACCACTGGGCCTCACAGAACATAGCTTTTCCCTTTGCCGCAGGCAAGCCTAACATGACTTTTCTTTTTTACTTTGTTGATTTAGGTATGACCTTTATAGCCTCCCTTGGTCTTCTCTAGGTAAACATTTCTACTTCCTGTATTCCTCAGAGTCTCAATTTAGATTGTCTTAGGATTCCTGTTATTTTCTTAGGTAAGAGGAAAGGCTCTCTGATTTCTATGGAGGCGAGCATGGGGGGAAAAGTTACACCATGTATTGACTGGTTTCTCAGAAGCTTTCTAGATGCTGGGATAAGCTCAAACTATGGCCTAAACCTAAGTACATCCTGATTCTCATAAGCCTGGAGCGCCAACTACCTGTGCCTGTTCAGAAAAATCTCTGAAATGGTTCAGAATTCTTGATAAAATGTACAGGACACCTGGATTAACCTGGGCCACAGGCTAAGCTTCATGCTCTTTTCCCAATACTTAGCAGAGTCTGTACTAAAACGTGCAGTGAATGAGTGCTTGGTTTGTATATATTCTATGTGTAGGACAAAGACGGGATAGGAGGAGTTGTTAAGGCACCCTAAATGTAGGCACGTGTTCATGGTTATCTGAGGAGACAGGGAGGAAGGCAAGAGGAATGAGTTCAAGGCTCTGCGGTAGTGGGTTCCAGTTACCTAGAGGGGAAGGCAGGGCAGGTAACCCAGTCTGCAGAAGCAGATGGTACTGGACTGAGAGGGAGGCACTGTGAAGGGACCACCAGGAGAGCGGGAGCGGGAGTGATCACCCTCTTAATAAAAGCCATGTACAATTAACTTTAGAGGCTCTCACCTGGAGCTGGCAGCAACCAGCTTCCCATGCTGCATCTTGGCTGGATAATCGCAGCCACTGGTTTCCATCAGTCTTGATTTAATATGGCACCCCTCCTGGCTGTGAGTGCATTTACAGGAAAGGGCTGGGAGGCTGAGGCGAAGCCTAGCTGGGCTCTCTCCACTCAGCAGTGGGTGGCTGGGCTGACTGGCTCTGCAAGGGAGGGTTTCGGGGAGAAGGGGTGTGACCGGCATCCTGACTGTGGCCATCTCTTGGGGACAGGTCTGACAATGAAGCTGGCAGTGAGAGGGCAGCTGGGGTGGTGATGGGGTGGGGAGGCAGAATTTGACCTGGGTGAGAATGGGCTGAGGAGGAACTGAAGAGGGAAGAAAAGAGAGGCCAAGTGGCAGTTTGCCTCTCGTGGGAGGTTAGGCCCACAGAGTCAACCTGTCCCTCACAGGAAGATTCAGCTATGCCCTGTATTCCTGACTCCCTGCTTTGCAGTAACTCCTGTCACAGTCGGGGCTCCCTTAGGGCTTGTCCCTCCTCAGGGAGGTCAATAAAGGGGACCGGGGTAACAGTGAGACTGGGGTAGAATGGGGGACAGTAACGGAAGGGTCCGAGGAGTCTGACAGAGAAGTCTGGGGGTAGGATGCAGTGCAGATGGGAACACGAGACTGGGGCATGAGAAAGCTTCTGGTCCTCAAATATGCATCACTGTAGAGGAAGGCTGGACACAGAGCAGGTGTCAACCCCATGAGACTCGGTAACTGCTATGTCAGCATCCTGGATTCCGTTCTCCTCTCTTCCAGTCCTTCCTGCCTTCTGTTGTTAAGAGTCATTTTGTTTATTTGTTTGTTTTGGTTATTTTTGAGGCAGGGCCAAACTATGTAGTTCAGACTGGCCTTGAACTCACTATGTAGCCCAGGCTGACGGGGATCCCTCTGCCTCAGCCTCCTGAATTCTGGGATTACATGTATGTGCCACCACACTTGGCTCCAAGAGTCATATTACTGACATGTAAATCTGATCATGTCACACTGCTGCAAATAGCTGTGTTGATCCAGTGACAGGACCTTGGTGAGAGAATGTTAAGAGGGGCAGGCAGTAGCTACAGTGAGAAAAAGAGTTTACATTCTTCTCAGTGCATGATATAAGAGGCATGTAATTTGATTTATTCCATAATTGGTGATACTAACTTTGATCATTTGGCTAAGGCAGTATCTGCCAGGTTTCTCCTCTATCATTTTCCCTTTGCAATTAGTAAGTATTTTGTATTGTAGAGAGAGACTTTGATACTACATAATCATCCTATCATCTATCAAACTTCCACTGATAGGTTTGGCCTGATTTGAGATTAATGTTTGAATCCTTACAGTCCTACACAGTTAATAGTACCGTATTATAATCCCCATTGCAGAGATTAAGTAAATTCAGTCAAGGTTCTATTGGAAGCAAATGAGAGACACAGAAGTCTAACCTTCAGGCTGACTGTGAAGATGGTACTTTCTACCTGGGGATGATAAGACCTGTAGCCCACTGTCAGAAGTTCAGTGTCTATTCAGCAAGATGAGGTTTAAAACACAAATTCCCATCCCTATTTCTAGTAAAGGGTGCCTAATGAATTTATTGAAAATAAACACCAGAGGGTGTTCTTGCCAGAAATATACAACCTGAGTTGAATCATAAGGAAACATTAGATAAAGCCAAGCTGGGGGACATTTTACAAAACAGTGAGCCTGTACTTGTTAAAATGTCAAGGTCATGAAAGACAAGGAAAGAGTGGGGAGCCATTCCAGATTAAAGGAGACTCAAGAGATATGGTGTAACTAAGTGCAACTCGGGACCTGGGATTTTCTTGTAAGGAGACTTACTAGGACAGCTGGTAAACTGAGTAATAGTTACAGGTTATTTAATAGCAACATTAGTGCCCGATTTTGATGACTGTACTTAGGTTATATAAGAAAACACGAAGCTGGGGATATAGCTCAGTGGCACAAGCGCCTGCCTGGCAAGCGCAAGGTCCTGAGTTCGATTCCCGGTACCCCCCCAAAAAATTATATATATATCACATAAGAAAA